CTTGTTATTATACAAACTTAGTTTTTATATAGTTTCTATGTAATTACTTATATAAATTATCTAATAAAGATACAAGCAAGGCCTCACCTTAACAACAAAAAAAAAAAATAAATAAATAAAATTTTATATTATATATCAAATATGCAGATTAGTAATCCTAGCTAATAGTAAAAAAATCAACTTAGCTAGTCGATTTTTTTAAAAATTAACTAATCAATTTTATTATAATATTCTAATGTAGAAAATAAATTTCTAAAGGATTCTGAAATTTTAATAAAAAATCAACTAAGTCGGCTAAGCTGATAAAACTTTATCAGCTTAGCCGGTCAAAAAATTTTGATCAGCTAGGATCACTAATGCAGATAACTCTTTTTAGATTGTACTTTGCTAATCTTTTTTCTTAAATTGTTCAAATAGGAAAAAAAATAATGTAAGGATTATATAATAATATCTAATCTTTTCTTATTCAATTCATCTTACTAAAATGAATCATTAAAAATATTTGTATTACAAGATATTATAAAAAATATAAGTGTACCAAAATACCTCATACTAGAATATCTGACCTTTCCTTATATAGTATTAAAAAATAAAAAATAAATATATGGTTAATAACTCATAACTTATATGTATAATATTTATACATATGTACTTTGCAGATAAATATTAAAATTTGTATAAAATAATTAATATGTATTAAAAATGCTCTTTTATAAAATAGAAAATAATGAAGAAAAAACTTCAAAGAAAAAATTTATACAATCAACTCTTGATTTTTCTATATTATCTATTAAATATCCTAATCCAAATTACATTAACTATAATAAAATAACATCTAATACAATAAATCAATTACAACAAACTACTTTTAATTTCTCTTCAATTACTTATAAGAAATGTAGTATAATTGATTCTAGTTTACCAATTAATAATAATGATATTGATATAGAACAATTAACAAATGATGATAAGAAATTTAATAAGCATAATAACTTAGATAAAGATAGTAATGATGAATATAATGAGTTGCCACTTAATAGAGAATCTCATATATGTTCTAAGGAAATAAAAATGCACAGATATAAATATTTTTCATGATTAATTAATCCAAAACTAATTCGATATATATGTGGAAAAGAACTAAAATTAGATAAACTATACTCTTTAAAAAACTTAAAAATGTAAGTAAAAAATTTATTTATATTTAATTTATTAAAAAAACAATTTAATTGATTTGATTTTTTTTTAGTCATATTCATGGTAAAAAAGCATGTAATGCTAAAGTACAAGATCAAGTTAGTGTTGAAAAATTTTACAAAACAAGCAATACAAATTAACTACCAAAATGACAATCTTATTCTTGTCAGGGTTTATCGAATGATCAAATTAAACAATATGGATTAAAATATTCATCAGATTTTGGTGGTTCAAAAAGTGAAACAGAACTTGCTTGTCAGTTATTTCCACAAAAATTTAAGGATGTGCATTTAGTTTATAACAAATTAAATTACAGTGAGCGACAAGAACTTTATAAAACACAAAGAGCATATGCATCATGGATTTTGGACCAAGAAAATTTATCAGTAATAAGTACTAAATGTAAAAATTTTACTAGTTATGAATCTAAAATATGTGAAGAATGTAATAAATTAAGAAATAATTCATGTTTTCGTGATGCTATTAGTGCAGTATATTGTTTAAAAATTTTGTTAAATATGTTTGTATTATATAATTTATATTTTAATTATCAAATTATGATTAATTTATAGCCACACGTAAATATCTATTATATGAAAAATTATATTATTAATAATATTATTTTTATTAATCTTGATTATATATAATAAT